CATAACCACATAAACTAAACTTATTCTAATGAGCAGTTATTTATTGTGACATTGTCACAATGTTCTCAATTCTTTTAGTGGTATCTTGCCTCCATATATCATACGTTTCCTGTTAGCAATAGAGTGTGCCGATTATCTATCTAACTCTGTTCAGAGAAAAAATTTTGAAGTAACGTGACTTTCAGTCCAAACTGGAATATAGTTAATCTGGGTTTTCCGCTCCTAAGTTTTCCATATCTGTTATGGATTTCATCTATTTAACTGCTTTTTCAAGATTAAGGAAGGACAGCTGGATGACAGTTGGAATAATTTATTAGGCTGCAATATTTTTCAAATTGCAGCCTAATAATTTTTCTATAAACACGATATTTACAAGAACATACTTCCCATGTAGTTTATACAATTTGTTGCAAAAATATAAACATTTTATCATCTCATAAAAGTAATTATTGTTGCATTTTTATAAGATGTTTTTTACTTAAATTATATGAAGTCTTTTGGCATTAAGGTTAGCAACTTCGATCACATGAGGAGCCATCACAACCTATTCAACACAGATCACTTTTCAAATATTAATAGTAGACCAGTATTAAATATTAGTTGTAGACTATCCTCTCTTCCAGGGACGACTACTTTTGGTTGAATTACTCCAATCCCCTTCCATAACAGTCCCTTCTTTCTTTCGTACCAGAGGTTTGGTGGCATTCAGATAGGAAAATTACATAATACAAGGTTACTAGCCTGCACAAAATATGTTTTAAGTGGTATTCAAGGGTGGTGAGTTTAAATATTTGGTCTGTTTGTCACAAAATTTGATTTGTTGGCAGATTACCATTTGATATTCAGCTGTGAATGGTACAGTTTCTTAAGAGTTAATAGGAAAAAATATGATATCTATAGTATAATAGAAGGGTTAAAGTACAAAATAATCTAATAATCTTAATTTTTTTTGTTGTTATATTTTGCTTAGGCAATGCCAGACTCATCTGCTAATTAAGGTATAAATTTAATAAATATATACTTTTATACATGGATTATACAGGATTTGTTAATGAATAATAATGGCTTTTTTTTTTTTTTTCAAAGCCATGTAAATTTATGTTGTATTAATAACAGGATAAACTACTTATTTTCAATTTTAATAATTCAGCAATTATAAAATATATGTAACTGTTAATTAGAAAAAATAACTAATTGAAATGTTGAAGAAGAAAGTGTATTTGGGTAGTAAGTCAAATGCTGTTTCTATGTCAATGTGACATACTATATGGAATGTGAGGGTCAAGGAATTTGAACAAAGCTGGTCAGAGAAAGGTATGTAATTTAAAACAAAAATTTGAGTAGTAACCATGTGAAGTTAACAATTAGAATTAAATTAATTTCGAATATTCTGAAAGAAAAGATCAATGAGAAGGACTCAAACTCACAATTTCTGCTTATTATGCATTCATATTGCCAATTATGCTACCTGGACATCCATCTAGTCTTTGATTCTAGATCAGCAGTCCCAACCTTTTTTCATTAACGTACCCCCGTGACATTTCCAACTTCCTAACGAGCAACGCATGCGCAAATCTCACACTGCCTGTTTGTAGAAAGTGTCGCCATTTTGAATTTTATTTTGACTTGGTTCTCGATCCCCGAGTACCTACAAGTCTGGTTTTTTTATGCGCGCATGATTTGGGCACCTAATACTTTGTGCCAAATTGCAACTTTTGACATGTACTCCTTCATACCTCTATGCTGGTAACACAGCAGACAGTACGATTTTATAAACAAGACATAGTCTTGTCAATAAAAAATTAATAAAAATACTGAATAAATAATGAAAAAAATTACCGCTTGTAGAGAAAATCTGGAGAAACTAGCTATGTCCTTTTCCTTGCTAACAATAAAAAATACTTTTTATAAACAAAAGAATACTTTTTCAAACAACACGTGGGGATATTGTTGAGAGATAATAATAATAACGGTAACACTCCCCACCATCAAAAGTCCGTAGCATAATCACTAATCACGCATAATGATATCCCCACTACCATTGGCCAAATGCACAACATTTATTATCTGTTGCATTGTACAATTGGCAGCATAAGTTTTTATTTCTATTTTTGCATTTTGAAATGTTTAATAAAGTTGGTGATTGTTGCAAGGAACATTTTTTACCTAATAATTTTTTAATACTATTAATTTGTGATACATAATATCAGTGTCATAACTAGCCATTCCTGCGCCCTGTGCAGGAATTTGCATTTAGGCCCCTTAATTAATTAGTTTTGGGAAAGTAATAAAACAAATACCTGCTTTTTGGGCCCCTCTTCCAAATGGGCCCTGTGCGAGTGCACCTGTTGCACCTGCCTAATTACGGCACTGCATAATATATTATTTTTTCTGCCATAATAAGTAACTTTTTTCTGTACCCCTAAACAACCTATCGCATACCCCGGGTTGGGAATCGCTGTTCTAGACCAATTAATTTAATCATATAACCATACAAGTCACTTTTTGCACTGACTAGATGATTACACACCATGATAATCCATTGTATTCAGCTTTTACCCCATTATAGCATATATTTAATCATATAGTAAATCAAGCCAAAATCTGTATATTTATTAAAAGCAAAATGTTCTGTCCTCACTGAAACTGAAACCAGGGCCATGTTCAGTAATGCAGAATTCTTGCTAAGTCTAGTTATGCTGCGATGTTGAACTCATTTCTAACTACTGCTTGACTCCTCCCACCTCTAGAATTCTAGCTAGTTCAGTCAGCTTCTTTTATCTATGCTAACTTCTACTAGTGACATCATTATTTTTCTCTCCTCGTACGATTTGCAAGATGGCTGCTCATGTTGGACTAAACATATCTTATTATAACTATCATAAAATTATTCTCATTCTAAAATGACTTTGAAATTAAAATTATCATATGTCGGTATAACAGATTCTGAATACATTTTAACGGAAAATAACAATTCATTTCATTGATTACAATTAATAATTGCTTCATTAATTTCATCACGATCTGATGCAGCTTCCATTTGAATAGTTGTATTGGTTACTTCATTCTTTTCAACCAGTTCGTTTGCGACAATTGTTGCAATCATAATTTTAACTTTGTCCACCATTTTGCCTAGTTGTCTAACTAAGAATAATTGTTCGATGATGCTCAGAACATTCTTAGCTCCAGCCACTAAGCCATTCAGAATTCTAATTTAGTTGTTCTGCATTACTAAGCACAGCCCAGCACTTTACAAAGAACAATAGGGTGTAAGTAGATCATAATGGTTGCCTGTGGGATTTATAATTCTTTTCTCGAAAAGACCACCCATTAACATTCTCTGTGGACTAGCATGAATTTATGGAAAGGGAAGGAGGAAGGAACACAAAAAGACTTCACTTTTGATTCAGGCTTGGAGTTGAAGAAATGGCTATTTGTTTGTTTGTTCCTATTGATACTAATATTATAAAGAGGTAAAGTTTGGATGTAGGAGGTAATCTCTGAAACTACTCATCTGATTTCAAAAATTCTTTTATCAATATTTAGAATGGAACATCAGGGTGGACATAGGCTGTATATTATTCCGTTAAACATTCATATAAATTAAAAGATATCATCTAGGATGAAGGCTTTATTGTCCAACAGATGGTGCTAACTCCACAAGTACGACGACCTAAGTTTGCTTTTCTGTGAGGATGAACTAAAGCAGATCATCTTCTATCTATCTATATAAATAAGAATGTAATGTTTGTTTGTTCCTACCGATTCCTTTGAAATTTTGACACAACATTGCATTCTAATGCACATGTGTTTTTATATAATATACATGTCGAAATTCCCCCCCACTGGAGGAGATGGACAGGATTAAGGCTTACCATGAAGAACTCTGCTTCTATTTATACTATTTTAGATGTGTTTTTTATTGCATTTTAATAGGGTACGTCAACAGAATATACACTAGAAAGGGATTTTTTGATACCCCCAGGGGAGAGGGACAGGATTAAGGCTTATCGTGAAGAACTTGGCTTCCAGTATACTATTTTAGATGTGGTTTTTTGCGTTTTTGATTGCATTTTAATAGGGTATGTCAAGAGAATGTACACTAAGAATGGATTTTTTGAAAAATTTCCCCCTCCCCTATGGGGGAAATGTTATACATCTATAATGGATAGATTTCGAGCCACAAGAATGCGTTGCAGGGTCTGCTAGTAGCAACTATTCTTTGTTTGATTTTTGAATAATAACTTTTGGTTATATACCGAACATAGATATACAGATTTAGTTTAAGTTTTAGTTTTTATATTATTTTTAATAATTTTTATCTGTTTATTTATTAAAAGCAAAATGTTCTGTCACAGTCACACACAAATAATGTAAATTGAAAAATTAATTTGATTTATTTACAATTTGAAAATTTCAAAATAACTTTAACTTAAAATAAATTTCAAAATAACTTTAACAAAATAAACTGTGTAAATTTCAAATTAATTTTATTTTATTTTTGGTTTTAGTTTCAGTGTAAAGGCCAATGTTTTAATTATTATTTAATTATTTTTAAATTTAATTGTTAATTTTAGTTTTAATTAATTTTTGATTTAGTTTATTTAGTATTAATTTACTTTTAGTTTTTGTAATTATTTATTTAATTTTGNTCCCTTAAACTCAATTATTGTCTCCTTTTTTAAAATTTTAAGCGCATTAACATTAATTGAACTGTCGAGCTATCTAGTTAAATATTAATAATAAAATGAAATCACACGTGAATAATCAAATGAATTTGGAGTTGTCATGGAAATTTTCATTGATTAGTTTTAAAATAGTTTGTTTACTGAATTAATTCATTAACATTGACTTCTTATTTTAAATAAAATATAAATGGTCTCTATGAACAATTATTTTGGAGATTTTTATTTTTAGTTAAAGTATAAATATAATGTAAGTATTACTTATATGACTTAGATGATAATTGAAATATGTGATACAACTATAATTTATTTCAGAATTTGTAAATATACCTATGATGAAACCAGGAACTGTAGTTGCAGATGAAATGTTTCCTGAAGGAGCTGGACCATATATGGATTTGGATGAAGTAACCTCTTGTTTTTCTGTTTATTCCATATTAAATTCATATACAAATTTTTTTTCACACAATTTTTCTTTTATGTAATGCACAATGAATGTATAAACCAAAACTGGAACAAAAAAAATAGGAACCCCCTCTCAAGATTAGGAACCCCCAATCTATAGAATTTCATGTATCAACCCCTCTTAAGAAATTTTTTTTTCATTGATTCCCTTAAATAAATATACACTTTATTTTTAATACTTTTTTGTATTTGTAAAATTTTGAAAATAATAGTAAATATTTTCAAGAATTTTTAAATGATTATAATTACTGAATTACTAAACAATATTAAAATATTATGTATGCATATACAATATGTATTTAATTTGCTCATCAATTTCTTTCAAACTTTCATTGACTCCTAGGTGATCGATATTGACTATGTTGGGAAACCCTGCTGTAGACACAATACCTTATTATTCCAGCAAAATGTTTATTTAATTGAACTAACATCTTCAGCCATCATTTAATGGTCATCTTCAGGTCACAGCTCTGAGATAGAGAATAAAATAAACTTTTAAAATGTTAAAACGTATAACCATTTTTTGGAACATATATTTTTTTGTGTTTGCTGGAATAACAAAGTGTGTATCTCGGGCCGCTCTGGAAAATTTAAAAATATTGCCACCATTTTCCCATATTTAAATTTTTGCCCCACTTCAAATTATTTATTTCCACCACTTTTTATTACTAATTTATGCAGATTCTGGTAGCCTTTTAACTGATGCCTTTCAGATGATCAGTTTGGCATCAGGAAAGCAAAAGTAACTAACATATTATGCTGTCACAAGGAACAGGCCAGATATTCAGGTCTCCTATTCGAATGATACTTGGTGAGTATGTAACATTAAACACAAATAGTTTCTTGTCCAAATAATAGGATCCACTTCTCAAGCATTTCCAATAAGCAGGCCTCTGAAAATTGAGTGTTTAGCTTATAAGTCTTTGGAAATTTCACATCTGAGTGCTGATAGCCAAATGGATAAGACTCTAGGCACTGGAGCTAGACAATATAGTTTCAAACCAACACTATTACTAAACCTTTAATTCTGGTAACATAGCATTTAATATAATATCAAACTAACACTTTCAATCTTACCCGGGATCTGTTTCAGGTTCTTAAACAAATTGTATTCCAAAAACAGAATGCTTAGAACCAAACATTTTTTAAATGCATTAAATTTTAAAAATTTGGAACATAAATCAAAGTTAAACCTAACAGTGGCATTTACGCAAATTCAATATATACATATAAGGCCACCCATATTTACTTATTATTTGATGATCCTGCATAACCATAAATAATATGAGTTGTTTAATCGTTAGCATTGCCATGGTTCTCACATAAGTACTGCCAGGCATATGATATCATATTACTGTCCTTAAAATTTGCACTCACCTGTCTGGCCAGCCTGTATATTTCTAGGTCCTCCAGGGCCCTAATGTGGTTGGTATGATGAAAGGACCATTTTATTAGCCTCATGTTAGGTAGGTCTGTGGTGTAGGTGGTTAGGGCAGTGGTGTGCCTTTTGTTGTCAATGCCTACTTGTGTTCCCAGACCCTTTTTTGAATGGAATGTTTAGTGGAACCTATGTACACCAAATCTCTCTGGAATCTGTCATCCCTCACCAGAACAGTGTACACACCAGGGGCTCTAAGATTATCAGGTTTGTCCTTCGCATTTCTTAATGTGTATATCGATTGGAACCTTTTGTAAGCTAGTTTGATAACTGTTCTGCCTGCTATTTCCTTATCTAAGTGTTGGTTGTATTATCTATTATGGTGTGTCTAGAGTTCGGTCCAGATTCCCAGTTCCGTTGGTAGTCCTTAGGGTAGTAAGGTGCTGTGCCTGGCCTGTTGGAGAAGGTGCATGCTAAACCAGAAATTATGTTCCTTCTGTATCTGTGCCTTATCGCAGTGTCCTTGAGATGTTTAAGCTCTCTCACTGTGTCCTCCATTTGGAATGGTGAGTAAACACCCGTCTGGTTAATGCACAAAAGACTGCAATTTTATATGAATAAGGGTTGGCTGAGTTTGCTGGTATGAACAATGGCAAGAACCAGGGTGTTTAATATACACCCATTTCTACCCAACCCCTGTTGAGACAAATGCTGATGTCTAAGAAGTGTGCTAGAGATAATTGATATTATATTAAATGCTATGTTACCGGAATTAAAGGTTTAGTAATGGTGTCATTTGTATCAGTAATTAAACTAGAAGATATCGTTAGGTTCAAATCTTTGAAAGTATAGTAACGTTTTGTCTTTTTTTATATACATAACATAATTTTATTATTTTACTGTATCATTAGCATTATTATGATTATTATTCTTCATGTTTAAAGTTTATAAAACAAGAGATTAAAAATTATGACTTCATTTCTTGTTTACAAAAACTAAGTCTCTGTAGATTTAACTCTCTTATGTTGTTATATAAAACTTTAATTTCTTTATGTTTATTTTCACATATTTTCACTCCTGATTATATACTGTCCTTACAAGTGAATAAGCTTCAGATGTTACTGCAATGGACAAAAACAAGTGATATGAAAATAGGGTAGCATAGTTCATAGTTGCAGCATTTTATTTTTTTCATTGTTAATATTATGGACAATTTCCTTGTGCTCTTATGTTTGTTATATTTCAAATATCACAATACCACCTTATCTGGAAATAAAAACTTTTCTAACAACAAAAGACTTGTTTTTGCTAAAAAGTAAATGACATCACAATTTTTAATCTTGTTTTATAAGCTTTAAATGTGAAGAATAATAATAGTAATAATAATGCTAATGATATGGTAAAATAATGTTACACATAAAAAAAATCTGAACTAAAATTCCAAAGATTTGAACCCACATTGTCTATATTCAGTGTCTAGCGTCTTATCCACTTGGCACTCAGACGTGAAATTTCCAAAGATTTCTAGGCTAAACATTCAATTTTCAGAGGCCCAGTTTTCGGAAACTCTTGAGATGCAGATACTATTATTTGGAGAAAGCTGTTTATGTTTAATCGCTTTAGTTTCCAGCAATTTTTAATATTAATGTAATTAAACATAAAAAATACTTAAAACTGAAAAATACCGAAAGAAATGCGTTAATTTTAAAGAAAAAGCTTCAAACTTTATTTTCCATTGTCTCGCCTTTCTGTGAAATTTGACACCGATGAGTCATTGTGTTTACAGCTGGATGATCTTGAGAACAGCTGGTGTTGGATTTCCCAGGACATTCTCATAGAAGTCTCGGGAGGCGATGGGTTTATAGTAGTGAATACTAGCTGGCCATATATTTTTAAAAAATTAAAATTTTTATTGCAATTTCCGACCCCCGACTAACGTATATATAATAAAATCTATTAATTAAAAAAATAACTATTGGAGATCGTTTTTGATATCAGAAAGTTGCTTTAAATAACTTTACCGAAGTAAAATCTGTGCACTAGAATTTTAGAACAATGAATGAAATTTGATATCAAAATCCCATTAAAAAACAATTAAGTGTAAATCATGCATCATTAAATGTAAATTAAAATCACAATAAAATTTTTCGCGCAGGTAAAAATTTTTGAAAAAATTTGGAGACTTAAAAAACATTTCAAAAATCCAAAAAAAAAATTGGGGGGCGAAACGACTGAGTTTTCTGTAACGCTATGTAACCTGCCCAAGTTAACTCAGGCGAGGAACTAAAAGGCTACATACTCATAAAGTTTCATTCAAATCAGAGATCCAAATACAGTAGAGCTTCGATTATCCGACCCCCGATTAACCGTCACATCAGTTAACCGACCATTCTAGTCAGTAAATTTTAAATGTCTGCTGGTGATGTGGCACTACAATATTTGGCTATGTCTTGGCTACTTTAATATTATTTTTTTAAAATTTTTGCGTGTTTTAGCTGGCAGCACTGGCTCAACCATTGAAGGGAGGCCAGTATTTAAATGAGACTTAATTTTCTAATTATGAGTGGTTGTTTGTTTTGTGAGCAATAAAATAATTTAAAAATAATTTTTAATGGTACAATAGCAACGATTATTATTTAAAAAAAATTTGTTAGGCTTAACATCGATGAAAATTCAACGCGAAGTTGGTTAATAGCAATATACTAATATACTAATTACATGGGATATACTAATATACTATACTAATAATGTATTTTTTTCAGTTATCCGACCAACCTGAGTCCCCAATTGAGTCGGATAATTGATGCTGTACTGTATCTGGCACTCTGTTATCAATAAGAATTTTTTTTGAATAATTCTTTAATGAATAATTTTGAATTTGATCTCAATGTTTAAACAGTATTTCACATGTTCTGTCATGTCAAAATTCTTGTTTTAGTCTACTGAAAAAAAGATCAAAGTAAAAAAAGCCACCCCAAAAAATTCCCCAAATTTTCTGCTAGTTAATAAAAAATTTCCGATCTGAAAACTCTGGGGAACATTGCACAAAAACTGCCTTTGGTTCTCACTGTTATTTTCTACTTTTCTTCCTGAACTTGTCATGAAATTGCTAGGTTTGTGGTGCATGTGACTTCCATTGCACAGGAACTAGATGTTCTGGTGTTTTTTCTGAAGTGTGCTTTGTAATTCAATTTCATACTGAATGTTGAAATAAGTGGACTGGGGTTTTTATTGCCAGTATTATATTTTTATCACCACTTTAATAAAACTATTGCCAAGTGGCAATTTTGGTGCTATGCAGTGTGACCCCTGGTATCTCTATAGATACACATTGATATGAAATATCTACTATAATTCTATGTGAATAACCCATAAATTGTCTATGCTTGAAAGGAGGTATGAGCTATATGCTGATGTTAAATTCTAATCACAAGTTAAAACCAAGGCTGTGGAGTTTTGGTGTTTTAGTCGGAGTCATCAAAAAATCCGCCAACTCCGACTCCTTTTTTTACTTCCCAACTTGTTATCTATATAAAATGGAAAAAGTATTAGAATCATGTCAAG